AAGTTAACCTAACTTTCAGACAACCTTAAACAGCATTAAATACATATATAATACTATCTATTTTCTTGAATTTATATATTGTTTTTGTTTATTAGGTATATCATTTATTAAAGATATATGCCGTAAATCAAAGAAGAACGATACCTTGAGCTCGGGAAATTAGATTACAACAGATGTCAAGCCCAGCATCAGATGGAATGGAACCATATGCAGCAGTACTTAATATCTATACATAAAACTTAATCACACAATTATTATATATATGATCTGCATATAAATGCTTATCTTTGAATTTATTAAATTCGTTTTCGCAGATGGCCGGTACGAACATTCGAATCTTGAAGAATTTGGAGTAAGCAAAAAGGAACTGCTCCTCGCGTTTTTTGTTGCGAGTTCAAGCATATTTGAAACATAGAGATACGGAGAAAGAATAGCTTGGGTTAAAACCAATATCCTCTCTAATATTCTTTCAAATCACTATTATTCCATCGACGATTCTGTTGGCGCCAGATTTCTACCGAGAAAGATATCCGCCTCACTTAGGAAGTAAAGGTTGGCGAAAGATTTGTTCCCATGTTTAATTTGGAAATTTAGTATCCTACCTTTGTAATTCTTTAGGACTTAGATTTATTTCCTTGTACTTTACTCTTGTTAGGAATCTTTCATAGTTATCTAGATTAGAACTAGATATTGACTAGGATTTTGTTTCCTAGTTATTCGGTTCCTTTAGAAGACAGGTCTTTTGAGCCGATCACAAGCCTATATAATGCTCCTCACCTCACAAAGACCGTGACACTTTTATTGGGAGAAAAATCACTCCATAGCTTTGAAGAATCGCTGAAACGTTCTGCTGAACAGAACTGTGCCATCGTTGGATGTGTCAACTTATACAGATCGGCTGTATAGATCTTTCGAGAGATCAACCACGTCACTGAAGGGAGTTCAGGCCAGAAAGGAGTTCTAGGCACGCGGTGTGGAGCTGCTGTTGGAAGAAACACGGAGTTCGAGTTGTGTACAAGAACGGCATATTACATAAAGAGGGAGTCTTTAGTGTTTTTATTAAGTCCTATTAATGTACACTATAAATCTGAACTAGTGAAAACGTGTTTGCAGGTCCACGTGGATGTAGGACACAATTGTGTCTGAACCACATTTATAAATCTGAACTAGGAAAACGTGTTTGCAGGTCCACGTGGATGTAGGGCACAATTGTGTCTGAACCACATTAATTTCTTGTGTTCATTTATTTGATTTAAGTAGTTTATAACTGTGTTAACACAAGAATTATAGTTGTAACTGAATACTGTTTCCACAATTGAACTGTTACAACTTAGGTTAATTGATTTCTATAGGCATATAAATCAACAATTGGCATCAAGAGCCTCTCACTAGATATACATAGTGTGTGATTTTGGGAATTTGATTTATTTGCCATTTATTGTTCATATGTATTATGAGTTCTCATATGGAAGGAGGTTCCACTACTCGCCCACCACTGCTCACGGGAACCAACTACTCCTATTGGAAAACTAAAATAAAGATGTTCATAAAGTCAATGGATGAGGATGCATGGCGAACAATGTTAACTGGATGGAAGCGACCCGTTGCCACAGATGAGAAAGGGATTGAAACTGAGAAGCATGAGAAAGACTGGAGCAAAGCCGAACAAATTGCAGCAAATATGAATTCCAAAGCCTTGAATGCTATATTCAATGGAATTGATATCAATCAATTTAAGATAATCTCGGCGTGTGAGTGTGCTAAAGAAGCATGGGAGTGTTGGGTTTCGGGCACGCGTACGCAGCGGAAAACAAAAATTTAATGTGATTTAAACGACTTTAAAACACACAAGTACATGCCCGACAAATTAAATCAATTAATTGCGTACCTTTGCGCTTCCAGCGAAATTAAAAACAACATACATGCTAAATAATTTAACCGAATTTAAATCAATTAACATGCTCGCGTTTAAACCAATAATCATGCTTGCAAAGATTAAAACGATTACACATAATCACATAAAATCATACGATAGCAAACATGAATTCATAGTTTAAACATAAACGAATCGAAACTAGGGTTTCGTATATTTACCTCTTGAAGCGTGAGGTAGGAGCGTTTAGCAAGTCGAGATTGCTACGGAAACCAATCCGTACAATCGGGGCAGCAGCGGTGCAGCGGCAGCAGCGGCGAATCGGCCACGGCGGCGCGTGAGGTACACGCACGGTCTTCCGGGGCGGCGCGTGGGGCAGCGTGCGGCTTCGGCTCGTGCGCTGCTCTTCGATTCCTCGATCTTCGATCTTACTCCTCTTGGATTTCACCTCGTATACTTCGATCTACTAAACACGTGGCACTAGACACGTAATAGTTAGAAAAACGGAAGAAAAAGAGAAGGAAAGAGACTACCAAGGCAGTCGGCCGATGAACGGCCGATTCCGACAACAATCCGGCGACGGCGCCGGTGATGGCCGTGGGAGAGAGGCCGAGAGAGAGAGGGGTGGACGGCTGCTAGGGTTAGGGTTGTGTTGTGTGTTTGTGCAAGACCTATAAATCAAGTATTTATATGTCTTGCATAAAACCCTAGCGGGCTTAAGTTGGACCGGGCCCAACAGCTTAAGTCCGTTAGTACTTTTACTTGCTCGTCTCTCTTAATTCAATGACCGAAAAATTGCAACGATTACATTTTCGGAACCATTATAATTTCCTCGTCATTACGAGTGCCATTTCTCATTTTCCAACTTTCTAAAAGTGGAAACCCTAGTTCAGTGCGCTTTCTAAATTTGGAAACTTCCCGATTTAGAAAGTTCACTAATACGTTCGCCTATTCTTTTCCTTTTCTTATTCTCATTCATAATTACAAATTACGAATGTTGGACTCAATCATATTGACTTCCAATCATGCAAAGATAAACTATTTTATCTCTAACCGTTTATTCAAAGATCTCATGTGCACGAGCAGTGTGACCCTCGATGGTTCAGGTGTAAGCTAGCCGTGGGCCCACAACTCTTTGTGGTCAAAACTCGTCCCTTAGAGTTACGATTAAGATGAAGCTCGTTTCACCTTAATCACCCAACGAATCAAGATTGGCGTCTAGCAACTACGCGTCATGATTCCCTAGATACAAATGAAGTGCCTGCAAGAACCTTCAGATATAGTTAACGTACATTACGGTCCCTTCGATTCATATGTCCCGATCGAACTAGAGGCATTGGTTCATCGAGACCTCTTTATATGTTCGATGACGGTGCGATCGTTCCAAGTGTTGTAATCCTTACGTGCATGACTTAGAGAATCGAATTCTCTAATCATCACTTAGTCAGCTCTGGCCAGAGACTTAGAATGATTACAAACTTTCAGAACACACAGGACATCCAAGACTATTCTAGCGATCGAATCCCCGACTACAATGCACAGACCTCCCACTAGATTTCGGACTGCACGAACACTGGCCCTTGGGATGGTCCTCGGTGGAACTCAGGGACAGGTCACGATACAGCTGGTCCTCTAGTGAAGTCACGGTGATGTCTAGGTCATAAGGACTAATGGTTTACAACTATACCATAGATATCTCTACTCGATTATTGGGAACCACTTAGAGATTTCTAGGGTGAGGGAGTTCAGTGAACTCGTCAACTTACGAGCACCCACTTATGCATGCCGATATCACAATACCGTTTACTGATGAGATGCAGTACACATACACTAAGTGCTAGTCTTAATGGGAAAGGCCGATATCCTCATTAGTGGCGTAACCCTTCGACTAGGAACACGTTTAAAGTTATAATACTTGAGTAAATATCTCACGATCCTAACGATCAATTACTAGTACTTGTAATAACTGTAAGGACTATATCTATGCTTGTGACAAAGGGACAAAGATATAGAATGCCAAGATGTTTTATCATTAATACGAATAAAGGTTCGTTTATTACAATAATAAATACGAAAGACCACAGCCACAAGTTGGCTTGTTGGTCACCTACTCTAACAGGGAGAAACTTCAAACAGCTTATGAGGGAACTGCTTCAGTTAGACTATCCAAACTTCAAATGCTTGCCACCCGGTTTGAAGATCTTCGAATGGAAGAAAATGAGACCGTGAGCGAATTTAACTCTAAATTATGTGACATATCAAATGAAGCTCATGGCCTCGGTGAAACCTCCCCTGAAGTTAAACTTGTATGAAAAGTACTCAGATCCATGCCAGACCGATTCGCATACAAGATCACTGCCATAGAGGAAGCCAGTGATGTGGACTCATTGCGACTTGAAGATCTAATTGGAAATCTACAAACTTTTGAAAACAAGTTGAACATCAGCAGAATGGACAAGGAGAGAAAAATTGCTCTGCAAACTGTATCGGACACCACAGCATCTGTGTCTGCTGCCCCTATGACAGCACTTGAAGTCAAGCTCACGAAATCCATGTCTCTAATAGCAAAGAACTTCGGAAAATTCGTGAAGAGAAATGGACATCCTACAAACTTTGAGAGAAAACCCAGGACCTCTACAGATAAGCCAGAAGTCAAGAAGGGAATTCGATGTAGAGAGTGTCATGGTTATGGTCATATCCAGGCAGAATGTGCTAACACTCTGAAAAAACAAAGAAAATCACTTGCCACTACCTGGAGTGATGACAACTCAGATTCTGATGATGAGAGTGAAGCTAGTGATGATGATACAAACAATGACTTCTGTGGAACTTGCAGAATCACAGAAGACACACTCGAGGATATCACATGCACAGAAGCACCACATCTCAGGTACGTGACACAGAAAAATGAAAATTACGAAAATCTAAATATATCTTTTATGTCCACAGGGAATGACGAATCAGAAGATGAAGGTGAAGATTCCATTCAACACATTCAACAACAATTGGATGATCTCCTGAAGCAATGTCATGAAGTCAGTAATGAAAATAAACTCCTAAAAGAACGAGAGGAAGAGAACAAAGGAGTTATAACAAAATTGAATGACAGAATGGATGAACTTGAGATGGAGATTGAAGTCTTTGAAGTGGAACAGGAATTCGCACAAAGAGACATCGACAATCTTAAAGATGTGTTGAAGTATTGGCAGGACTATGATGGTGAAAGAGCAAAAAGAATCAGGAAAAATCTTTTTCCAAAAATACATGCTGATGATCACCAAGATATTTCACCACCTGTTGGCACAATGTTTGAGGCTTCTGTCAGTAAGTTAAATCGCACTGCATTTCTTCTCTCAAATAGATTAGATGAAATCATAAATGCTCATCCCTCTAATCTCAAAAGAATTGGGCTAGGGTATACTGATAGACAATCTAATGCCAACACTAGTTCAAACCAGAGAATCAGATTCGTCAATCCCACATCTTCCCATGCGAACAACCAAACTCATCCTACTAAGTTTATTCCTATCTGTCACTTCTGTCACAAAGTAGGGCATGTCAGGCCTAAATGCTTTAAAAGATGGAAACTGATAAATAAACAGTTAGCAAATCAGACATCCAATTCCGCTGCGTGGGTTAGTTACCCTCAAAGTAACAACTCTTATAAACAATGGATGACAAATGATAGTACTAACTGTTGGTCTGCTATTTTATCTTTAAATGCATGTGCTACTAACTCTTGGTATTTTGACAGTGGATGTTCCAAACACATGACAGGTGAAAGGAATTTCTTGTCAAATCTGCATAACATGTCTAGTGGACAGGTCACTTTTGGAGATGGAAATAAGGCTTATGTAAAAGGAAAACGGGACTTGAATGTTGGAGGATTGCCAAACCTGAACAATGTTCTGTATGTGGAATGTTTGAAATCAAATCTTCTGAGTGTAAGTCAGTTGTGTGACCTATACGACTCAGTATTGTTCACAAAGCGTAAGTGTGAAGTATTTGATGAAAACAAAAATTGTGTTCTAACTGGATACAGGTCATCAGATAATTGCTACAAAATTGATCAGATTGATAAGTGGGATCAATGTCATCACACTTCTTCTGACCTCACTGATCTCTGGCATCGGAAACTAGGTCACCTAAATTTTCATGATCTAATTCGTCTTGTTAATGCAGGATGCGTGAAAGGGGTACCACAACTGAAGACTGACACACCTGAGTCATGTGGTGACTGTCCTTTGGGAAAACAAGTACGGACATCTCACAAGAACACAGATCATGCAGGTACTAGTAGGACTTTCGAACTCATTCACATGGATTTAATGGGACCAATGAAGACCGAGAGCATTGGTGGAAAAAGGTATGTACTAGTTTGTGTTGATGATTTCTCAAGGTTCACCTGGGTACGGATCATTAGAGAAAAGTCAGAGACCTTTTATGAGTTCAAAACTCTGTGCAAAAAATTGCGAATTGAAAGATTCAGCAATATTAGAAGAATTCGAAGCGATCATGGAAGAGAGTTTGAAAACTCTTCATTCACAAAATTTTGTGATAAACATGGTATCTCTCACGAATTCTCAACACCAAAGACACCACAGCAGAATGGTGTGGTAGAAAGAAAGAACATAACTCTTCAAGAAATGACTCGCGTAATGCTTATCTCAGACCAGGTTCTGGGCTGAAGCTATGAGCACTGCTTGTTACACCATAAATCGTTTACACCTCAGACCAGGTACCAAGAATACCCCATATGAAGTATGGAAAGGTAAGAAACCCAACTTAAGCTACTTTCATGTCTTTGGGTGTGAATGTTACATCTTGAACGATAGAGAACAACTCGGTAAGTTCTCTGCAAGAGGAGATAAATGTACTTTTCTTGGTTACTCTCTAAACAGCAGGGCCTATCGCGTCTATAATGAACGTACAATGACTGTCATGGAATCCATAAATGTAAGCTATAATGAAGTTTTATCTGCAGGAATGGATGAAGAAGACTCTAGTCCTGGAGAAATCATTGTACCAGTACAAACTCCGGAAGTCAACACAGAAGAAGTGACGACAGTGAAGGAAAGCACAAAAGAAGTGACCGGAGTGAAGGAAAGCACAGAAGAAAGAAAAAGGCCATCAAAACGAGTTGTAAAAAAATCATCCTTCTGAACAGGTGATAGGAGAAGTTGATGAAGGTATGAAAACTCGAAATAAGCCCAAAGTTGATTACCAAGAAATGGTCAGGTATGTTTGTTATACTTCTACTATAGAACCAAAAAACATCAAAGAAGCAATTATTGATGAGTATTGGGTACAAGCTATGCAAGAGGAACTTATATGTGTCACCTACGAATGTGACATCTTGGTTTTTGGAATAGGAATGATAGGAGGTTCATTTTGACTAATTGGTTGTGTGTTAGTTTTTGTAAATTAATTTTTGTTTCCACAGTGAGCCATGATAGAAGTGTGATGCCCCCTCTATCGGGAGTGATCAATGTCTATGACATCATTCATCTCAAAGATCATACCTCTATTGGGAGAATTATGCTACCGCATATGCATCTCTGACTTCTATTTAAAAGCTATGTGGATTCTTAAGGAGGTTGCCCTCCTAATGTTTGCTTGAACATCATATCAACAAAAAAAAAAAAAAAAAAAAAAAGGAAGGAGAAGCAAAATAGTCTGAATTAAAAAGAAAGGAGTTCAGGCCAGAAAGGAGTTCTAGGCACGCGGTGTGGAGCTGCTGTTGGAAGAAACACAGAGTTCGAGTTGTGTACAAGAACGGCATATTACATAAAGAGGGAGTCTTTAGTGTTTTTATTAAGTCCTATTAATGTACACTATAAATCTGAACTAATGAAAACGTGTTTGCAGGTCCACGTGGATGTAGGGCACAATTGTATCTGAACCACATTAATTTCTTGTGTTCATTTATTTGATTTAAGTAGTTTATAACTGTGTTAACAGAAGAATTATAGTTGTAACTAAATACTGTTTCCACAATTGAACTGTTACAACTTAGGCTTCGTTTGATAGGATTAAGCACTGAATGCTGAATGCTGAATACACAACTGAACTGTTAAGAGTACTGTTTGAATGCTGAATACTGAATGTATAAGTTTGTTTGATAACTCCAATGTCTATCATAACCGAATGATGTAATTTTACTATATTAACCCTCATAATTTCTAACAAATAAAATTAACTACTAACTAAATTGTAATGAAAAAATACTAAAAAAAACCATGACACTCTTAAATATTAGTTTATTATACTCTTTTAATGAAAATAATGCCATGTTTGATAGAATTAAGCGATGAATACTAAATGTTGAATACATATCTGATTGATTAAGAAAAATGTATGAACACCAAATGTTGAACAATTAAATTTGTTTGTTAACTCAGAACTTATTACATCTGAATCGTGTGATTTTACTATATTATCCTTAAGAAAGTTTGATTGGCACAATTCTAAGTTTCTAGCCATAGAAATGAATAAAAATATCAAAGTTCATTTTTTTTCTTCTAAACCCCAATATAAAAACATCCTCACGTCCATCTATCTATTATAAAAAAATATCGGTATATCACTCATATCCTAAACAAACGAACCCAATTGTGCTCCACTTTCAATAAATGTGGCATATTACATAGATAATTGAACCCCCACTATATAATTTAATATAAAATTGGTTGGTATACTCAAATTACCGGGGACATATTTGTCTTAAATACATTCAGTTGTACTGCTGAACGAATAAGCTCAATTGTTGGAACTGAATCGGTAAGCGAATATCAGCTCCGTTCAGAGTTCCATGCCAAATGCGCTGAATTGTGAAACATCTGACCGAGTAAGAGATGGCTTCTGTTAAAAGGCCATTAAGAGCTCATTAAGCACTGTCAAACAAGGCCTTAGGTTAATTGATTTCTATAGGCATATAAATCAATAGATTCTTCGAAGCAAAGGACTGAATTATCGACAGAATTAAAAAACAAACAAGGCAGAAAATGGCAAATCTCGAATATTTTTTCACACTTTAGTCCTAACTTCATCATCGTGTCTTCTTATATTTATTTTTAATATATTCATTTATTTTATTGTTTTCAGGGGATATAGTTACACTACGGTACATAGACTTATTGCAATCCTACTCGAAACGCTTATGCACTAGATTGGGCTGGCGTAGACGTTAGCAATCAATTACTTGATCTAGTAAGTTAAGCCTCAAATCCCTACAAATACACACACACACACACACACACACACACACACTTGTATTCTGATATATATGACATGTGCAGTGGGGGGCATGGTTAAAGAAGCTAACCGGGGAAGGAGATGAAGAGATCGAACAAGTGGAGCTAATAGTCGGAACATTGAATATCTGTCGTGGGCATATTTCGTCTAAAGACGATATACTATCCCACGATGAATACACAACTCTCTCTCGACTCAGTAACAAAATCTGTCACCAGCTTGCAGAATTCACTTTACCGCCTTCTACTCTCAATTCATCGATTTGCCCCCTTGTACTTTGGCTCGATATCACTTTACCCCTTTCTACTCTCAATTGCATCGATTTGCCCCCCTGTACTTGAAAAATTGTCTCAATGTGGCCATCGCCGTTAGTTTTCAGACCCTTGACACTAACACCGTTTGATTTAAGTCTGAAAATTACTAAAATGTCACCCCTCCAGTTTAAATAATTATTAAAAAAATTAAAAAAATAAATAAATAAATAAATAAACAAAATAACAAAATAATAAAAGATTCAAGACAGCGAGAAGACATAGTCCACGACGCCAGCCACAAATTTTTTTTTTATTTATAATTATTTAAATTGGGAGGGGTGGCTTTTTTGTAATTTTCAAACTTAGATCAAACGGTGTTAATGCTACAAGAAAATTTGGTTTTAGCGACACTATGCTATGGTCGCTGAAAGTTAAAAAAATGTCGCTAAAACATATAGTGACCAAATAAAAATGGTCACGATAGGGTAGGTACTAAAAGTACTCAGTGACGACGTATTTAATTGGACACTGAAACGTGCGTGTTTAGCGACTCTCCAATAATGGTCGCTAAACACGTAACAATTAGCGACCTCTTTTGACTCGCTAATTGAAAAATTTATGGTCATTATAATCTTGGCATGGTCGCTATAACTAGACATACAGTGACCATATTATTTTGGTTGGTAATTCATGTACATTAAGCAACCAAATAGTTGGTTGCAATAGCTTTTATTTGGTTGCCACAATTGTCATAATTAACATATTTTAGTGACCGTATATTCATCTCTAAGAATACTTTTATAGCAGTAAAATCGGCGGATGCAATAATTGTGTTATCTTCGCAAAACCTTGCCCTGTTTTATATGGAAAACAATTTAAATTAATTGCAAATCTTATATACAATAAAATTAAGCATTGTTTGCAAACTAAATAAAACCACATCTGCAAATTTACACTTCATCAACCAATCAAATGTCAGTTTCATATACAATCAATGATACTCAAATACCATAACATATCGAATCATTCTATGTAGTTCCAAACATATGTAACTTTGGATCCCAAACAAGTACAAATCTTGGATTGGCGAATGCTACTCTTGATTACGTCAAGCATGAAATGTGGTGAGGCGTCTTCAAGAGTTCAAAGTTGGACAAATCAAGTGGTTGGTGGTTCCCTCATCATTCAACAACTGAATAACCTGACAATGATTCAAGTACTCGTCATTATAATCACAGCCAACACATTTCAGATTCATGCCAATCGAGAAACACAGATAGGTTAAACAAAACATGTCCGAAAAGTAAAATGAAATATTTAGTAAATAGATACCTTGTTTACTTGTATACCTTTGCTCTTGTAAGACAGTAAGTATACCAAAAAATATTTCTAGCCCTAGGATCCCAAAACTGTGAATATTTGTTTCCACATCAGGAAGTGGAGGTGGTTCAGAATGCTCCGACTCAAATTTTGTATGATTGTTTGGCTTGGATACAATTTGTGATATACGAAAGTAAAAATTTCAAAACACTTCGAAGCATGACGATACCTTTATACAAAACATGTATCCGAGCACAAAAACTGTATACCTAAACAGTCAGGTGAAATCCAATCTACAAAATAACTAAAAACTAACATTTCAACCATATTGTACTCTCAACAATCAGGCCCATATAATTACATATTGATTGTTGAACCATCATCTACCAAAAGCATACATGTAACAAAATCCTTCTGAAATTAGCAACTCCAATGTCCAAATACAACTGCCACAACAATGAGCAATAGAATGCAGGTGATAATACAAGAATTCACAGCTGACTGTTTATCAAAATAAGCAACAACTCTAGGAAGAATAGAAAAGGTGAACATTTTCTATGGCTTATTTCCTTCTTCTCCCTTTTTTTTCATTTTGGCATAACTCAGAGAACATAAAGAAAAGCCATAAGTAATCAAACAAATAATACGTCTGTCTATACATGAATCAATTTGACAAAGCCAACATAGGCATAGGCAACCAATTTTATAACATATATATCCTAAGCAAAGGATACTATATTGTTGGTCCAAGCCTATATCAGAAGATGAGTTCTCAATTTTGTGTTGAGTCAGACATGTAGTAAAAACAGGATGAATGAATAATAAAGGAAGAAATTTAGATGCTATCATTGACAAAAAATAGATAAAAAAAAAAAAAAAAAAAAAAAAAATAGAACTTACACCACGTATGTCCAAAGACAGACGAATTATCAGTTTTGTTCGTTCACTGAAGATATACAATGAGTTGAGTATAACAAATTCAAAGTAATCAAAGGCAAATAGGCATAAATATGACAAAGAAATTGAGATATACCTTTGGAGTTTGCTGCAAGTGAACTTAGCCCCAAACTCCAGTGAAAAGAGTCAAACTGTTTTATATGCAATTAAAATCAAGTTGCAAACAACAAATTAATAATCAAAGCACATATGATTAAGTAAAGAGAAGATTACGGTAAATTAAGTAGATAAGATGGTCGAAGGCTAGAATTGTACCATTTGATGCATGTTTGTGTACCGTACCAATTGGGCCTTATCAACCCTCGCATTGGTTGAACCCCACTGAAACCGCCGGCTATGTAGTAGAAATTTCCTCAAATACTAAATACAAAAACTAGAAAAAGGATTATATAAAAGACCTCTAGGAAAATAAAGTCAGATAATAACACAAATTTATTAGGTCTGCCAATGTTTTGACAAAACATCAATACACCATTGGATTTTAGTCCAACAACAGTAATATTGAATTATCCTCACAGCCCACAAATTCTATACAATACGTCATATTTGACACCAAAAATTCGAGAAATGGGTACAAATATAGAAGTATTACGAATTGGGGATTTTAGAGAACCTGATAAATTCATACGTGAATGGGTTACAGATATCGCAAAAGGCGACACAAGAACACCAATTACTGTGCAAGTGAGCGCCTGAGATGATGCCGATTTGAGGACGTGAGGGTGAGAGATGGGATTTTTGGGGATTTCGCTGGGAATTATTCAAGGTGGAAGTTTACCTACACCCGGTGATAAACACCGGGTGGGTCTTCTGCTGCCACGTGTCACTTTTTTGTATTTTATAATACATTCCCCGCTAGGGTTTACCTTGAGGGCTTTTAGAAAAATTAAAAAAAGGGACACGTGGCAGCAGAAGACCACCCGGTGTTTTTCACCGGGTGTAGGATCGAGGGAGCCGAAGTTTACGGAGTCTCAAACTTCTTATATATATATATATGTCTAATACAAATTATAAGATAATTAATAGTTAATTTATTTAATATATCAGACTTATATCTTCTTATTCATAATTTTTCTAAGTTAATTTTTTTTATCATTAATTTTCTATTGATTTAACTCAAAAAGGTTAATTAAATATTTTTCCAATATATTTTTAAAAGAAATTGTCGCCACGGTTCATTCAACTATTATAAGTATATCTAGAGCAACCATGTAAAATATGGTTGCAAGTGAGATATGATTAGCAGCAAAATTGGTCGGTTACTAATAACTCCTTTGTTGTCTTTTAGCAACAACGTAACATATTCTATTAAATTGGTCACTGTAGATATTAATTTTTAGTGACCATGATATAATGTCGCTATAGATACAATCTTTGGTCGTTACAGTACCACCTGGGGCGCTTCAAATTATAGCGACCATTTATAGCTACCGACTACTGGTTTGTCGCAAAAATATTTAAATAATTTGCATTTTGCAACCACATTAACATTGGTGGTTAAATGGATATTTTAAGCAACCATTTTACTTTCGTCACTGAGAATTTGGTTGCAGAAACCAACTTTTCTTGTAGTATAAATGTCTGAAAACTAAAGGCGAGTGCCACATTGAAACAATTTTTCAAGTACAGGGGGGCAAATCGATGCAATTGAGAGTAGAAGGGGGTAAAGTGATATCGGGCCAAAGTAGAAGGGGGCAAATCGATGAATTGAGAGTAGAAGGGGGTAAAGTGATATCGGACCAAAGTACAAGGGGCAAATCGATGAAATTGAGAGTACAAGGGGTAAAGTGATATCCAGCTAAAAAAAACCCCTCTTGTTTCGATAATTACATCTACCTCCTCAACTATGATTTTTTCTTACACCTCCACCCTTATGGTGTCAAATTCAACATAATAGTTTGTACTCGTTTTGTGTAAAAATATAGTTTTTGATGCATCACAATCTAATATATACAAGCCAAAAAACACATTTTGATCATTTTGCTTCAAAATGTAGAGTTCGAATGGGATAAAACGGGTACAAAAGTAATAATATTCCATATAATCTCGAAGATTCCACTAAATTTGAGAAATTGAGGGGTGGTTGTAATTATCCAAACAAGAGGGGGTTTTCGTAATTTGACCATACCTCAGGGGTGGTTGTAATTAACCCTAAAAAAAGGAATAGAAGCCAAATTGCAATTTATACAAAATTTCTCTAACTTACAGTAGGGACTTGATTGCAATGATCAATACATTAACCTAGCTATTTGAGTGGAGTTACTTGTAGCTGTATGCATTCATTTCATGCAATATGTTTTCTTATAATTATCAACATCCTTTTTACGAGTATGGATTTTGAAACGACGAAAACGAAAAAAAACAAGAAAGGGAAAAATAAAATAAAATCATTCATATCCTCAAATTTTGTTCAAACATTAATATCGAAAAAAATAGGTACAGCTCAAAGGGGCTCGGAAATCAAGCCATTAATATCGTTAGCGATGTCGATAGGGGACGAGTATTCGTCTCCACCTTGGTGGGAGTATAAGCAATGAGCAATCTTGCATGTCTTCCAAAATAATTCTTTACATTCTCTTGGAACAATACTTCCTTTTCTTTTATAAACCATTTGCAGCACTTTTCTCCGATTGTACTCGATAATTTCTTCGATTTTCAAAATCGCATCCTCTTCTGAAATGCCTCCGTTAACTGTTTGCACATTCACACTGTTTAGCGCCCCTTCTTCGTGTTCCTTCTGCCAAATAATATTTGATATGTTATTGTTAATTATAGCACATCTCATGTTTATCGTGTTGATTAAATAATTTTTTTTTTTTTGTGTGTGTGTGTGTGTACCTTAAAAGTCTTGAGATCGTTGAGAAGTCGGCAAACGAGAGAAGAATGCTGGCACAAACTAGTGTACTCTGTCGACGTAAAAATGTCCTCTGATATTCTAATTCCTAGAAAATGCATCGAAGTGAAAACACATGGTTTGCAGCCGACGCTTTTCCATGCAAAAGACAAGTAATCGTCTAGGGTTGATACGCTATCAATATTCTGATTCCACGAATCCCTTTCTCTCGCAAAACTCGTTAGTAGCTCGAGCCACTGCGCTAGGCAAGAAAACGAGAATCGTGAAATGAAAAATTGAAAATTTGAAATAAATTAAACCATATATATATGGCATCAAAGAAATATATAAATTACCATGCTGACTAGATCATGTTCAACATGATAGCCTTGCTCGTCGTAAGCCTTTCCTGCAACTTCATTCACTGTGTTGTACAGTGCCGTAAACAGAATTTCGACTTCTTGGGAGCAATAACTCGTTTCTCGATGCACTTTCCAACTATATATATATATATATATAATCCAAGAAAATGTATCATATATATGTATGCATGCATGGAATATATATACATATACTGAATATATAGTGAATATAGTAAGTTGTTCATCGCGTACTTGCTTACTAATCCGATAATAGAGAACGCTTCTTCTTTAGATCCGTAAATATCGAAAAAGTCATCGAAGCAAGTTATCAGAACAACAACTTGAGCATAAGATATTCGAGCGTGAGATAGTTCTGGACCAACGATAACCGCTGCAGTCAAAATGTAAGAAATTTGCAATATTTTCCTTCCTCGGGTTAATCGATCCAACCTACATTCAGCGTACCACCTTTTTTTTTCTCGATATGTTAGTTTATTAATTAATAAAATAAAAAAGAGCATCTTTTAATCTATTATATTGTAGTGATATCATTACCTCTCCATTTGTTGAAGTTCTTGTTGGTATCGAGATTGGGAGATTCTGAAATTTTGCACCGAAAACAGAAGAAAGTCGTCGTTATGAACTGTGGGGCACCTAAACAGAGAAAGAAAAACAGAGTAAAAATCATAAATTAGTGGCATATCGATTATAAATTCAAATTAATGTTGCCTGCACGCTGTTTTCAGAATTTGAAAATGCCGAGCATCGTATAGCTCAATGCTTCGTCTGATTCCAAATTGATCTAGTGTGCCGTAAAAGTTCTTCAAATCGTAATCCACCTTTGCGAATTTAAAAAAAAAAGAAAAAGAAAATTAATTGGTATTTATAAAAAAAAAAAAAAATAGTTTCGTAAACGTGTTCTTAAATATCACCTGCTTCTGTAATCGTTTGTCGAGAATGGTTTGGTTTAGCAACTGCTGCTTCAGAAATTGACTAGTCCATGCATGAATTTTGTTGAGTACGCCTTCGTCACATATTCTTGCCTGTGAAGCTCTGTAAAGCTCGAGCACTGTACTTACACCGCAACCGTATTGTATGCTAACCGTATCGAAGAAATGTTCTTGGTCAACAAATTCCGCAAATTCATCTGAATCACAACGAAAAAAATTAAATTTGATTCCTCACAGCATGTTAATGGACCAAATTTAGGGGAAAAAAGAAAAAACCTGACGAGACATCATATCCCTTGATTCGTAGAAGTCGAAATGCCATTGCACGACAAGTTATGTCGGAAAAAATCTCGTCTTCCTTCTTCAACCAATGCCTATTAGTCGTAACAAACTCACCGTGAGCAGTTGCAATTGTATGCATATAAACATTTTGGAAAATTAAATCTCACCCGTATATTTCATCAAGAATGTTGCGTAGCTCAAATTCAAAATACCGATTTATACCCAATTTTTCGAGGGTATCAACCACACAAAGACGGGCGTATATATTCATCGGGTAAATAGTAGGCACTGAAAATGAACGTACAATATCTATAGATCAATACATGTCATGAAAAATATAATATATATATAAAGAATTTAATTTACCCCATCCACTGCAGTTAGCATTAAGAACCGAGATCAAGTACTCGAAGCATTTATCGTCACGGCAGTGAATCAAAGCAGCTGCAGTAGTAGCTGGTGAGTTGAACAACGAACCATTACTCTTTTGATGTTCCGATATTACCCCCTTCCAATTGCACGCTTTACCGAGTCCTTCCATCGCATATACTTGGACGTTTTGCTTTCGTCTAACGAAATAATCGATCAATTAATTATTAACTCGATGTCCAAATCATTATGCAAATTGAATTAAAATGAAACCATTATATGCAAATTATATCAAAATGAGAAACTAACCGAATATCGGAATCTTGAACGTGAAGCGATGAATCAACAACATGTGAAGTGAGGGTCGAGGGCAGAGTTAAATCAAGCTCTTTAGCATAATTTACCATCCAAGGGAATATAATATCGAATCCAACGGGCGAAAACTGATCGTTATTGTTAGCTGCCGCCCAACCGTTGGATGCAATGAAATCCATGCCTATAATTAAATTATAATCAAACAAATAAATTATCATTATCAAGCAAGTTAAAAGAAAGAAAAAAAAAGGTTTATTCATTTTCTCGACACTAGAATAACAAAATCAAGGTAGTTAATTACCATTTTGTACTAGTCGTTGGCCAACACCCCATTTGGTAAGAGCGAGCACACACGCCAAGGTGCAAGAGAGACGATCTTTAACGAGAAACGGGTGATCCGGATCCAAACCCCACGACCCGTCTGAATTCTGGTTTTCCATTATCCAATCCAAGCACTTCGGGAAAAAGGGCCGATCACCGTTGCCGCCGCCGAGGCCGGAATAGTATTCCGTCGCCGGCACCATTGCCACCCATGCAGTGTCGTATGCCGACGGAGATATCTCGACCTTGTCATTTGTTATCCTCTCTCTGATTTTCTCGATCAAGTTTCGATTATTGGCCGGTGTATTAACATCGAGTGCGCCGCATTTGGTGATAAAGATTCTTCCGCCGGAGAAGGAATATGCTGGAAGTTTATGTAACAACTTATTAGCTCCTACTAAAGTAAGCATAGTCACAAGATGATGAACTAATTATTCTTTCCCTTCACCAAAATATGAATTATTCTCAGCTCAACCAATTTCCATACGGGCGACCAATCAGATTAAAATGCAATGAAATATTTGAATCTTTGTCGTTATTACTTACTATTATTCGATTCCACGTATTTGAAACAAAACAAAAAAAAAAAAAAAAATGCATACATGATACATTATATTATATTGATCTGAAATATTGACAGTATTATTGACGAATTAAATGCAATAAATATTTAAAAATCTTTGTCGATTTAGTATGAATTAGTTTTCAATTCAACGTCTTCGGCGAACTAATATTTATTAAACTAAAAACACGACAAACTTTGTGAGCTGGAGTACTGGAAATTGGAATCAATATTGTTGCACAGTATTTATTAATAGACAGATCAATCAGTACTAATAATTAAACCTGATATATTATGTTTCATACAAGATTCGTGATCTGAAATACCAATATTCTATAGGATTTTGAAAATTATAATATAATATTTCACGGAGTTCGTAGGCAGTGGTGAGCGGCTGAGGGCGGTGGTGGTTTTTTCAGAGTGAGAGTTTGTATAATAAATATATATATATATATATTTTATTTTAGGAATTAATTTTGATTTTTATCTAAAATTTGGAAAAGATATACTTGTGATAGAGATTTGAAGTATTTAATTTAACTTAATTAAGAATATTTTTATCTCAATAAATATAATTAATTTATTAAAACATAAAATTTTAACTTACATATATGTGCACATAAATTATAGTGTAAATAGCATTAAACCACCTGAACTTTTTAAGTTTTTGCGGATCACCACCTGGACAATTTTTTTTTTTTGCACGAGTTCATCTGTACTCAATTAATTGTGCTACTTTGCCTTCTTTTGCCCGTTTCCATGTCAAAATGACCGGTTATGAACCCATGTGCACTGCACGTGCGAAATCCAAGGCTATTTTTGTCTTTTTCATTTAACAATCCTTAATACCTTTAATTTTCTCTCTATTTCTCTCTTATCTCCATTATTTTCCCTCTTCAATTAGCTAGAAACAGTGTTATTTTCTTTATGTGAAGATGGGTGATTGTTAAGGATGAAGCAGTCGGTGAAGTTCATCAAAGTCAGGACAATCGGAGTGTCGAAAGAGGTGCAAAACAGAGCAGCCACCATTCTTGAAATCATTTCCCTTGTCTGCTGCAAAAGTGATGATAAGAAACTCGAGAATTTATTCGAATACAGCCATAATCCAATGGCCGAAGGTGGAAGAAACTCAGCGAAGCTATCAAGAACAACAAACTCTTTCACGTCGCCAAATTTCCGAACCTGCACCGCAATTTCTCCAAAGACTACACCAAAACATATCCCGGTAATTACTTACATACATATATATTTTCCTCGTATTTATTAAGAAAATACCGATGCTTATACGAGTTTTTCAACAGCTTTTGCGTGGATGAAATGCAATGAGAGCGAACTTTGATTGGTCATTTGCTGTAGATTCTCTAAAAAATCTTGATTCCATTGTTGTAATTGATGCATCCCCATCTCCGTTCTGATAAGCTCCCACATTTAAAGGACGACATTGTGGGTTGGCATTTGGGATTGTAGAGAGAGAAAGAGCGGAATTAAGGAAGATGAAACTCGAAAGGGACGATTTTTACAGGTGTTCTTTTTTCCGGCAACGTAATTTGAAATGCTCGAAAATGCAAATATTTTGTGAATGAGGGAATTCATTTCTTTCTAATTGAAGAATAAAAATATTGGAGATAAGAGAAAAATGGAGAGAAAATTAAAGGAATTATGGATTTTTAAATGGAAAAGACAAAAATAACATTGGATTTCGCATGTGCAAAGCACATGGTTCATAACCGGTCATTTTGACCTGGAAACGGGCAAAAGAGGGCAAAGGGGCACAATTAATTGAGTACAGGTGAACTCCTGCAAAAAAAAAATTGTTCAGGTAGTGATCCGCAAAAACTTAAAAAGTTCAGGTGGTTTAATGCTATTTACCCTAAATTATAATATACTTGCTTTTCCCCTAATATTATTTCGAAAATAAAAATAAATAAATCAATTTAATACATAATAAAAAAATATAATACATTATTGAAATTCGAAATCCCACACTATTTTTACCAAATCATGCACATAATTAAAATTCCCTATCTACAATCTTTTTTCTCCTTTTCCATCCTTCTTTTTTCTCCCTAATTTTTTCACAAAATCGTACACTAAAAATATCTCTAGCATTCCAAGTTCGAATTTGACAAAAATCTTCACATGTTCAAACTAAAATAAATTTGGAATTTAAGGAAAAAATTCGAATCGATATGAATTTGAATAATTAAAAAAGCTTAATGAAATTGAATAAATATTAAATAAAACGGAACTCATTTTTTATGATTATTCACGTAAAAATTATTGAATTTTGAGTGACTTGGGTAAAATCATTTTAGAGAGAATTTTAAGAGAGAGAGAGAGAGATTTTTTTTTAATTTATGTGTGGGATTTAGTAAATTTCCGTGTGGGATTTAGCACGCCCAATACATTAACATAGTAAAATTTAATAATGTAGTATTATTTATATTTTATATAACATTAGTTTTTTTTTTTTATTCTTATATATTAAGAATTACGATCCAGATATATAGATTAAGATTTTAACAAATCGAATTTTTATTTTTATCTCGGAGATTGATAATTGTTGAAAATTAGTAGAGAAAAAATAAATATCATTAGGATTTTTTTAGGGTTGATCAACGTTTCTTTCTTTTATATATAAGATAAGATATAAAACCTATAACAAATTGCCTAATCAATTTAACAAATATAGAGCTGCCAAATTTGGTGGTTCGTTTTATTATATTTTTATTATTATACACAATTAACTTAATTTGCATATAGTGTTCTAAAAATCGATCGAGGCGGTTGATTAATCTGTATTCGAAGCGGAGACGGTTCAAATCTTTACGATTTTAGTATAAATGTTTGAAAATTTGTGTTTTCGCTTTTGAGGTGGTATTAACGGTTTGAGGCAGTCAAACCTTGAAGGAGAATCAAACTTCGGTGATAAAAATCATTTTTTTTAATTCAAAATAAAAGTTGTGATTTTAATAAAAAAAAAATGAGTTTATGATTTATTTTGTTTATATGAACGATTATTGTTAGAGCAACTCCAATGGAAAATACCAAAATTGAATTATCAAATATTCATTGAGTTAAATGCAAAAACCCCCCCTGTGTTAATCCTAAAGACCAAAAACCCCCCTGGGATAAAAAAAGTGACAAAAACCCCCCTAATAAGTGTTCAAACATGCACACTCGACCCATTTTATTTTTATTCGTTGACTGTTCGTGAAAAGACAAATACACCCTCAAATAAATCTGTCCAACATCTAAAATTTTATGACCCAAATGAAGTTTATAAAATTTTCAATTCAGTCCCTAATAGTTTCAATTAAGCCATCTTCCCCAAATGAAAAAAACACACAGACACACAAATACACACACTTTGATTTTAATTTCTCTGCGCACCTCACCCCACCCCACCACTGCCGTCGCCGGCTCCGTTCATGGACCGAAACCCCTCTCCGGCAACCAACCAAGCAGCCACATCACCGTACGGATGCATCCACGTATCATCTTCTCCGGCAATTTCTCCCCTCCGGCATGGATCCCATTGCCTTCAACAAGCATTTAACACAGTACTCTGCTCCGCACACTACGCACCCCTCTTTCCCCATATAATTCCTTTACCTCGATTTCGCACCTACTGCACCTTCTGCTTTTAATCCCACGTTTTATGTGCTTCGTTTCGGTTTTAACCTCATCGGAGCGAGGGGAATTGCCGGGATCGGAAGCGGCAGATCGGAAGCGGCACCGCCGTCGTCGGAGGCGATGGGCGGCGCTCAAGGGTTTGTTGTAGTTGTCGGAGGTGGTGGTGGTGTCGGAACTGGAGGCGGATTTGGACGAGGCAGGGTTTCTGGGGGAGAGGGAGGGTGGGTGTTTGGGGAAGGTGGTGAATTTTGGTTTGGGGAAGGTGGAATTTAACGGCGGCGGGTTGTAAAATGGGGGAGGGCCGGCGTAATCGACGGAAATGGAGTAATCGAGCTGGTCGTCGTCCGGCAGAGGGGCGCCTTCCGACAGCATTTTTCTCAGCAGCTCCGCCCAGAGATTGGGCGTCGCCAGTTCCTGCTCCGGCGGCTCCGCCGCCATCGCCATTTAGTGTGTGTTTAGTGCGTGAAAATTGTGGTGTTTGAAACGTGAGGGGTTTGTTATGACTGTAGAATCAGAGGGGTAAATTGGTCTTTTCACGCACAAAATGTTTAAAAAACGCATAAGTAGTCGCACACCCGGTGAGTGAATGACACGCACCAAGATTAGGGGGGTGCATGGCTTTGACTATTGATTACAGGGGGATTTTTGTCACTTTTTTTATCCCGGGGGGTTTTTTGGTCTTTAGGATTAACACAGGGGGGGTTTTTGCATTTAACTCAATATTCATTTGATATTTGAGATAATATTTAAATATTAATTAAAAATATATATGGTTCAAAATCCACCCAATGTAAATAACCAGGTGTACGTAGCATGAGCATCTAACACTGTACCCCGGGCGTACTATTTTCCAAGTATTTCATCACGTACTTGTGTTAATCTTGCTTACTTTTTTCCTTCTTTAGGATGTGAGACAAGCGAGCACAGTCGAGTACAACACTACTGTTTGTAGTACTGGTAGTAGTAGTAGTAGTAGTACTAATAATAATAATAATAATAATAATAATAATAATAATAATAATAATAATAATAATAATAATAATAATAATAATAATAATAATAATAATAATAATAATAATAATAATAATAATAATAAGTGTGTGTGCGCGCGCGCGCTTATTAATAATAATAATAATAATAATAATAATAATAATAATAATAATTGCTAACGTCTACGCCAGCCCAATCTAGTGCATGCGTCGTGGATTCTTG